CTCCGCTCTGTCTCTGGTGAAGCCTCTCACCCTCCACATCTCTGGCCTGTACCCCAGTTCTGTATGAATAAATAAATAAATCTTAAAAAAAATATCCCTAGTAAAATACTTTACTGTAATAACTAGCTCCATCTAAGTCTAAAATCTTAGACCACTTTGATCAGAAATGGGGAAGTAAGTGGGAGTGTATAATAGAAGAGAGCTAATTTCATTTTATATAAGGAGTAAAATAAGGTGGTTTTCTGGTGACACTAGTGACTATTTTTCCCCCTATTGTTGACTGAAAAGAACAGAGATGAACAATAGTGAGACTTTGTTAAGTTCACAAACAGCAGTAAGTATAGAAAAGTAAGAAATAAGAATAAAAACAAGAATTCATGATTTTTAATATTTAAGAAGCAATAGCTGGTTCACTGCAGAATGAAATACCCCCTAGGTAGATATCAGGCAAATCTAGTTTGAAAAATCCAAAAAAGACACTAAATTACAGGAAAGTTTAAGTTCCAGGCATGGGAGAGATTAAAGAATTAAAAGTGCCATATAAAATATCCTCGTGAATAAATGTGAATATCTCAATGGAAACCATTTTCTACGTTGGAATTTAATTAGTAAAACTGAACTCCCCTGAAACAAAAGCTGAAACATGCATAAATATAAAATCTAAGAACATAAAAAAATTATAAAACTGACTTCAAAGATTAGATAATGTCCAAACTATAAAAACATCCAGACTATAGAACTAGTGGGACCCCAAACTTGCCTGATAAACTGGCAGAGACCTGAGAACCCAACCTGATAAAACACACCCCGGAAAAAACAAGAGCCTCGTTTGACTTGATAAATAAGATGGCCACTAAAGAAAAGTGGCCAGAAAACTTGCTTTCTAGTAGAATAAAATAACGACACAGTATAATTGGGCTCATTCTAAATATATGTCCGTGATGCTCTGTTGATAGATCACAAAAATCAATACACATTCGTAGGGTCTAGGAAGCTGGCAGCGAGTGGTCCACGCAGACGTCTGATAACTCTCAGGAGTAGGCATGGAAAGACCATTTTACCAGCCTCCTTCAAAAGGTCTCAAAACAACAGAAAATCTTTATCTTAAAAAGTCAGGAGTAAAATAAAGGAGAGTCCCAGGACAATAGTAGAAAGGGCATGAGCAGACCAGTTTCACCTGCAGCTGGTGGCTAAGTGGAAGAAGACATGGAAAACTCGAGCGAAGTATCTAGAAAACAATCCTATGGGAACCAGTGAAGGTGCCAAAGATGGTCTGAAGCACAGATGCTTCAGGGATTTGTGCCCAGGGGTGGCAACGAGCACAAAGATGGGCAACAGAGCGTGTGATGACAAGTCATAATCAGAATAATGATGCTCATTGCAAAGAATTTATCCAGAAATCATGAGGACAACACTTTCCTCGTAAATACAGAAGACAGATAAAAATAGAGGCTATTTTTTAATTAGTTAAATTTTTTTTTAAGAAAGGGAGAAAAAGTATCACCTAGCCAGGAAATTCAATAAGAGGTAAACCAATGGAATTATATTTTTGGTCTGTAGAAGGAACCACCATTATAAGAAAATGAGAACAGCAAGCGGCTTTTACAATCAGCAAGGTTTATTTATAGGCCAATCCTTGCCAACCTCAAAGGCTAGTCTATAAATTCAAGATAGAATTTTTAGAAAAAACACATTAAGGAGATTTGATTATCCGGCCTTAAGTGCAAAATCCACCAATATATTGTACTCTGGCATTAAAAACAAATAGAATTTGATGTGAGAAAAAAAAATGCACAATGCTTCAGGACACTTCTGAAGGAGGGGGCAATGTTATAAATAGCCATGGACAGACCTTGTATTTGTGAAGAGAAAATGCTGAATGTGTTTCACGGGGTCATCATAAAATGACTCATATTTTATTGCATTTGGACAAAGAACAGTGTTAAACTTACAGTCTGGAATACAAGCAGTGCTAGTTAAAATAAAATAAGGATAGAAATAAACAAAATATCAGGTATTATAAAAGGCAGACCCAAGTTCAATATATTCCCATGTTCTTTCACTGCAGTGCCTGAGATAAACTTACCTTTAATTTTAGAGGAAAGGCACTGAAAGTTATATGTCTGTGACAATAACTACGTGATCAATTCTAGTTATTCTAGAAAGAATGTTAATGACTATCACCCACGAAAGGATCCAACTTTGCCCTTAATATGCAGGACAGAAGAAAAGCTCCCCTAGCTCAGAGGCCCACAATCCCCAGTGGCTAGGTAAAAACAGCCTTTTTCTCTCAAATTTTATTAATTTGTCAGCCACTGGCATAACGGTATAACTTTGAGGGATACTTTCCACACCTCCACAGGCACACATGTAAAGCAGCCTTTAATGATCTGAGTTGGGGTGGTTCAAGCCACAGAGTTGGATAGTTGTTGTGCAGAGACCCAAAGCATAAATGTTTTCCCTAAAATGCCAACTATTTGAAATAGGGGAACATCAAAGTTTTGCCCGAAAGCGTGAAATCAGTTATCTTTGTTTCTTGGGTAAACAGTTGAGTGATCATAGAAGAAGCAAAGTAAGAGACCATCAGAAATATTTGTCAGAACCAGTCAGAACCATGTAGACTATCAAGCCAGACTGGTAATAATGTTGAAAAGAGCAAATCTTCCAATGTTCATCCCACAAGTATCAAGAAAGAATTCTTCAAAGTGGTCCAAGAGACAAAAGCAAAGAATATTTTTGAGAGGATAATGCAGTTTGAGCCTCTAAATCCAAGAGGAACCCCTGTATTTGTACTGTCCTGTATCTGCTCTGTACCCTCCTCCCTGGACTGCCCCCCCACATCTGTCCATTCTGATGTGGGAATGTGAAATCCTTTGTGATTCAGTGCCACTGAGAGAGAACCCATAAGAACCCCGCTCTTCCTTCCACCTGCCCTGCTTGGAGCGTCTCGTTCCTGTCATAGAGCATAAGCACATGGCCACGACCAGTGAAACACAAAATTTAACCTGGCTGTGGAGAGTGGGCAGACATGCCAACTGTTGCTGTAGAAGCTGGGCATCCGCTCACCCTCCTGGTGGCCAATCCCTGTCCCCTCCAACTCTGTGTGCCGAGTGACATTAAT